TTCTTAAAAAATATCAGACAAAAAAAAACCATAATTCTCTAAAAAAAAATTTAAATTCTGAAAATACCAGAATTTGGGAAGTCTGGTATTTTCAGAGGTAGTTTCTCTTTTTTTCACATAATGAACTTTGCAATTCTGAAAATGTGATTTACGGAGGGTTGGTCAACAAATTTTAGCACCACTGTTTTTCCAAAGATTTTAATGAAAAATACCTTAGACGATGCCGAATTAATTCACGTATATAAAAAAAAAAAGGACATAGGATATATTGTTTTTGACGTTTCCTGAGTTTTTAAATTCAAAATTTCGTAAAAATACCCACAAAAATCATAATTTTTGCGTTTGAAAGCTAAATATTTTTCCAAACGGCAAGCTTAAGTCACAAAGTGTTTGGGTCTAATTTATAGCTGCCATTCTTAACTTTTCAGTACATTAGAACATAATGTAAGTTTATGTTATGTGAAAAGAAGAAAAAATGTCTGCCATAAGCCTAGTACTCAGACGGGCTAAATTTTCCGTCGACCAAAAATGCTATATATTCCGCTCGGTGCCCAGTGTAACCAAAATGATCAATCTGCATGCTATACGGCTACACTGTTTTGTGTTTGTTTACAAACAGAAATATTTTTGAATTTCAAATGTTGCATTAAAGCAAGCAGAAATGTCTTATTTGTGGGCGCTGTGGAGCTGGAGGAGGATAATGTACACTGCAATATTGGACAAATCCGATCCTGCGGACAGATATGCAATAAATATGGTTTTTTCTTCTTTTAAATAATTAAAATGAGTACCGGGTATAAAATTAATAAATAATAATGTCTATTTAATCTGTTTTCATTCGATTGCCTTAATGTATGTGTATGTGCCTTTTTGACGACGAGAGATAGAATATTTCTATATTCCGCTCGATATGGGAAAATACCATCGGTTATTACTAATTGACAGATGACATTAGACTTAGACAATTTTTCTGCGTAGAGAGGGATAGCACTAGAGACAAAATGCAACATTATTGTTCGTAGCCGTCTTTAGACACTTCTAATGGCTTTTGGTAGAAGAACTGAGGCACTACTTGACACACAATGATGTTTTCCAGACAGTACACAGACACCAAGCCAGCAAAATTGTATCCGCAAAGTAAAATTTTCCCCAAATCTAACAAAAACGAGAAGGAATGTGTGAGTCGCTTCTGAGGACGCGACTCTACTTATACCCGTACTCAGTCAGCATATAAGTTAAAACTTTTGTTTTTTTATTTAACAGTTATTTTATTATCTCTTTGAGGGAAAGCTTAAGATTAAACTTAAGTGCGAATGGACAAAGTTTTCAGGTCGTACAAAATGAACAGTGTGTTCAGGTCGTACGAAATTAACAGCGTGAACAGCGTGAATGACCAACCTCGGCACACGACGTCAGCCTATTATTATTATTATTATCATTAGCTTATTATTATTATTATTATTCTTAACTCCTCCCCCTTTAATTTGTGCTTGTCCTCGAGCGGGTTTTCATTTTTTGGTATTGAGCTTTAGACAATATGGGTCTTTTACGGCTTACAATATAAATATAAGTCAAAATGGTAACGCTATTATGTCTCTGACAATTCATGACATAAGTCTTTCGCAATCAGCCTTGACAAATATGTTACTTTTTACAGTTAACTTTAAAAAATTGTTTGTGTATTTCTTCGATCAAACAAAAACTTATTGCGTATTTTATTTCGACATTTTCCTCTTTGATTAAACATTTTGAATATTACTTGTATGTACTGTTGAAGCAGCAGCAGCAAAATATCATAACTTAGCATAGAAGAGCAGTATAGTATAAGAGTTAATGAATTGTTACGCTCAGTCGCTGTTACGCCATCTCCCAGCATGTTCGATCGGCTCCCTTCTGGAGTGGGCGAACGTTAGCATCGCTGGCTGCGACCAGTGCATTAAATGAATTTAAATTGAACGGCTGCGTTTTGGTTGCATCTTCGCTGACATCGTATACCACCGTTGTAGGAAAAACCCATCTAGAGCTGCTGAACCGGCGTCATCACACATCATCGTTCCGGGAAAAATACTCCGGATTTTCATTGGCGCCCGAGCAGGGACATCGGTTATAAGCATTTCGTGGAAATTCGCAAGACAAAACCAGTTAACAGTGCACTTTCGTCGTCTCGGCACAAGTTACTGGTTTTTAGTCTTTGTGCGAATAAAGCTCTAGCTGGCTGGTCTGCGACATCTGGTGAAGCATCGCATTAAGGAAAGTTCTTCGGAAAATTCAATGCCGAATCTACAGGTATTCTAGTGTCAAAAAATTGAGTGCAATCAATCCACAAATTTGTGAGTCGTGTGTGCCTATTAAGCATCATAGCCCGTTGCCCTTATTTTCTGGCACTGCATGAATTGGAATACCAATTTAATAAAACATAACCCAAACAAAATCAACCGAAGTGAACTAGCCAGAAATATCAAATAATTATTTATGTGTGGAAACTCAATAAAAAAGTGTACATCATATTGAGGTCCGACTGTACTCGCTAATCAAAAGCAACGGAACGGTCATTGCCTCTATTGTCAATACTCTTTTATCAAGTACCGCTTCTTGGTGGTCTGTTGGCTTCGGTAACGCTATAGTTGCGCCAAATTGTGCATAGTTTGGCGGCGTTTGGTTTTGTGCGCTGAGAGCATAATTTTTCTCGTCGCTCTTGCTGTCGCCGCATTAACCCATTAAAGCCGATACATAGTCTTTAGACATTTCTGTTGTCGGTGTTTTTGTAATTTATTGTGGATAATAAACTCTGGCGGTTTCGGTTGTGTGCGTTGGCATCATAATTCTGCAACGCGGTAACGTTGCTAGCGCTGTTCTAACCCGCCAATAGAGGGTTTTGGGGAACTTCTTTTCGTTTGTTTTGGTGTTTGGTTAAAAAAAAAAGTTCGTTGAATACAGCGTACCCACCCTCATATCAGCTTGTTTGAACCGTGCGAAAACCTGCGCATTAACCTTTGACTGTATTAATTTGAGTAATCGTGTCAAAAATGAGTGAAAAAGAGAAGGAATTCGCGGCCAAGGAAGTAGGGTCCAAGCTCAGCCAAAAGTTACTGACCGCAATGCAGAAACACGACAAGGTGATGAACGACATTAGGCGACAGAAAACGGCTTTCGAGGAAAAAACAATTTCGTTTGACCCGCTTCAAATTAAGTGCAGGTTAGAACTGATCGAAAATTATTGCGTCAAGTTAATGCACATTCAGGCAGATGTGGATTTGTTGAATCCCAGCAACGATTTAAGGTCAATGGTCGAGGATGTGTGTATTACTACGAGGGCTATGTATATGTCCGCAGTAAACGTACCTGAGAGTCAGCGAGCACATAGGAACGATCGCGGCGATCAGCGTCATTCGTCACACCTGCCAAAAATGAATTTGCCTAAGTTTAGTGGAAAACATTCCGAATTTAAAAACTTCATAAGCCTGTTTGAGAGTTTGGTGCATAGCGACCCATCATTAACGAACGTAGAAAAGTTTAACCACTTGCTGGCTTGTCTCACTGATGATGCATTGGGCACAGTGAAGGCGTTCCAAATCTCTGAGAGCAATTATGAAAAGGCTCTGGAGAGCTTAAAGAATGTTTACGATAACAAGTGATTAATCTTTTTCGACACCATTTCGCAGTTGTTCGACATTCCCCAAATAACAAGACCCTCTGCTTCATGCCTGAGATCCCTCATTGACACGGTATCTGCCCTCTACTCCTCTCTGCAGTCGTTAGGAAGTGAGAAGGACATAAATAGTGCAATGCTAATTCACATAGCAATGTCCAAAGTAGATCATACTACAAAATCGCGCTTCGAAGAGCAATTGGATTACGACAAATTGCCGTCGTGGTCCGATTGCGCATCCCAGTTGAATCGGCGTTATCAGCATCTGTCAGCTGAAGAGTCTACAAGGAGTAAGGGAAAAGGCAAATCAGAGATAGGCAAAGGACACACGAAGTCTTCCTTTTCCTGTGCAAAGTCAGATCGGCGCGCCGAGTCGAAGTGTAGCTATTGTTCAGCGAGCAATCATATCATAAGCAGTTGTCAAGCGTTCAGTGCTCTTCCTGTTCTTCAACGTTTTGATATCACCAAGCAACTTCGCTTGTGTATAAATTGTTTGAAGCCAGGTCATACAGTTACGAAGTGCAAGACAGCAAAATGTCGAGTGTGCTCCAAGTCCCATAATACGCTGCTTCACCGATACGGGGTAGAGTCACAGCAAAGTACGTCTGGTTCGGCTCCTGTAAAACAGCCCTCCGTTTCTGAAAGCCCAACAGCCTACTCGAGTCATGTGGCGAGTACTGACCAAGTAATTCTCGCGACGGCAGTAGTAAAGGTGAAAGATCGGTTCGGACAGTTCCAATATGCTAGGGCGCTGCTGGATTCCGGCTCCCAGATAAATTTTATTTCCGAGGATCTCGCACAGCGCCTAAGACTGCACCGTGACGAGTCATGCATTAGTATCACAACTGTTGGAAAAAGTTCGTCCGTCGTAAAGAACAAGGTTCACACGTCCGTCCAATCTCGTGTCAACGCTCATCATTTTTCAACCGATTTTTGGGTCTTACGGTCAATCTCCACATACCAACCCGACCATGTCGTAAATTTCGCCCAGTGGAATATTCCAGCAAACCTTGAGCTGGCAGACCCACATTTTTTCAAGCCTGCTAAGGTCGACTTACTGCTAGGGGCAGAAACCTTCTTCGAATTGATATGTGTGGGCCAAATAAAGCCAAGTTCCGAACATCCATCAATCCAGAAAACGTTGTTGGGCTGGATTGTTTCGGGAAAATATACTGCATCAAAACAGGATGTTGTATGCAATAACGCTGTTGGTAGCGATACGTGTTCTCTCGACTCTCTGGTGGAGCGCTTTTGGGAATTGGAACATGTCCCAGAGAAGTCGAAGGCTGTACATACAGCTGAACAGTTGGCTTGCGAACGCAACTTCAAGCAGACATCACGCAGGTTTAAAATGAATCCCAAGGTTTTGGGTTCCTCCTTCGAGACGGCAAAACGCCGCTTTCTATCCCTGGAACGCAGAATCGCGAGTGATCAGTACCTGCATGACATGTATATGGAGTTTATGAAAGAGTATCTCAACCTTGGTCACATGTCATTGCTTCCAGGCACTCCTCCAGGACACCATTACTATATTCCGCATCAATGTGTCCTGAGACCTGATAGTAGCACCACCAAGCTCCGCGTAGTGTTTGATGCATCGTGTAAAACTTCAACTTCAATCTCTTTAAACGAGACTTTAATGGTGGGAGCCACTATTCAGAGGGAGCTTTTTGCAACTCTTGCACGGTTTCGATTAAACCGTTTTGCTCTTACAGCGGATATCTCCAAGATGTATAGGCAAGTGCAGGTTGCTGAAGAAGATCGAAATTTCCAATTGATTCTTTGGAGGGAGAAAGCAAATATTGACGTGCAAACTTATCGCCTGAATACGGTCACGTATGGGACAGCTTCAGCTCCATTTCTGGCCATCCGCTGTCTCGTTGAGCTAGCAAAAGTCTATGCTAAGTCCCATCCTGTGGCCTCGCAAGTCATAGCAAATGACTTTTACGTTGATGATATGCTGACAGGAGCAAATAGTCTGGAAGAACTGGGAAGAATTCGGCAGGAAGTGAGTGAGGTCCTGGAAGCGGTGGGTTTCATGTTGGCCAACTGGGCGTCAAATCATCCCCATCTGCTGTCCGATAGTGGCCAGGAAAAGTCTCTTCAGTTTGACCCTTCCGCTTCCATTAAAACACTCGGAATTCGTTGGAATCCGCAAACTGATTTGTTTCACTATCAGCTGGACGACTCCTTTGATTCATTACCCCCTACGAAGCGCAACATATTGTCAGTTGCTTCGCGATTGTTCGACCCATTAGGGTTACTATGTCCCTTAATTACCAGGGCAAAGATCTTGCTGCAGCATCTGTGGAGACAAAAGTTGGATTGGGACGAGTCAGTTCCCATGAGTCTGCATACGAGTTGGAACAGGTTCAAGCAGAATTTATTCGACTTGGACAAAATCTCTATACCTCGCTTTATCGGTCTTGCCAATAATTCCACTATCCAAATACACGGATTCGCTGACGCATCAGGTGATGCGTACGGATGTTGTATATACGTGCGTACCAAGGACGATAAAAATGTTTTATCCCGACTTCTTACAGCAAAGTCCCGAGTATCGCCTCTTAAAACGAAATCAATTCCACGACTCGAATTGTGTGCAGCGCTTCTTCTATCCACGCTATGGTCTCAAGTTCGACTGCTGCTAGATACGTTTGTAATTGAAAGCGTGAACTTTTGGTCGGACTCCCAGGTCACCTTGTATTGGCTGGAAAGGGACCCAGCCACACTAACAACGTTTGTGGCCAATAGGGTTGCTGAAATCCAGGAGTTGTCCAGTGGTGTGATTTGGCGTCACGTTCCCACCGATCAAAACCCAGCAGACTTAGTGTCCCGTGGAACAGATGTAGATGGTGTAATGTGCTCATTGTGGACTAATGGGCCGCATTTTCTTCTTAGTGGTCCTGAGAATTGGCCGCTTCATCATCAGGTTGAGTTGTCTCCAGAAATGGAAAAGTCAGAAGACAAGAAAAGTGTGGCAGCACATTCTGTGGCAAAGGGTCAGACTAATGAGGTCATCGAGCTGATTGGAAGATGCTCGTCGTTTCAGAAGTTGCTTCGGATAATGGCGTATGTGAATCGGTTCATTCAAGGTGGCAATCGCAGTCGAGATGTGGTTGTGTCAGCTAAGGAGCTGAAGGTCTCATTTCTTAGGCTGGTACAGGTAGTCCAAAGATGTGAGCTTGGATCGGAATTCCTCAAACTGGATAGGTCGGAAATTTTGTCTCCACATCTTCAACGACTCAGCCCGTTCATACACACGAGCGAACTCGGCGGAGTCACCTTCCGACTGATTCGTGTTGGGGGAAGATTGCTGCACGCAGAAATTCCATACGATGCGAAGTTTCCTCTACTGCTGTCGCAAAAGTCGCAGTTCGCGATACTGTTTCTACGCCATTTGCATCGTGCTCATTATCATGCAGGTGCAAAAGTAATGGTTTCCCTTCTAAGGCAGCAGATTTGGCTATTGAACGCCCGAGAAGCATGCACAAGAATCGTGAGGAATTGTGTGCACTGTTTCCGATACAAGCCCATCCTTATGGGACAGATCATGGGAAACCTGCCAGCTGACCGAGTGCGAAGAGCTCGCCCCTTTCTGATTTGTGGGGTAGATTTCTGCGGTCCGTTTCAGGTGTCCCTCAAAATTCGAGGCAGGCCCCCCATTAAGACCTATGTAGCCGTGTTCGTGTGCTTCGCTTCAAAGGCTGTTCACCTCGAATTAGTAGTCGACCTATCAACTGACAGTTTTTTGTGTGTGTTTCAAAAGGTTCGTCGGGAGGAGAGGCCTTCCGGAGAAGGTCTACAGCGACAACGCCACCAACTTCGTGGGCGCGAGCCGAGTAATGGAAGAGCTTCACGCAGCATTTCAGAGGGATCAGGATCGGCTCAGGACGTACGCAGCACAGCACGGCGTCGAGTGGTGTTTCATACCACCGAGAGCACCGCACTTCGGAGGGCTTTGGGAAGCGGCAGTCAAGGCAGCCAAACAGCGGCTGATACGCGGAGTTGGCAACGCCAAGCTCACCGCGGACGAGCTCAGCACCCACCTGGTCGAGGTAGAGGCCATCCTCAACTCCCGGCCAATCGCTTCGCCAGCAACGACCCCAGCGATGGAGAAGCCCTAACGCCAGGGCACCTGCTCATCGGGCAGCCGCTTCTTTCGCTGCCGTCCGAATCCGAGCAAGACGCCAATTGCATCAAGGGCGGCTTCGAGTATTTGAAGCGGTGGCGCATGCTGTCCGCGCTCAAACAGCAGTTTTGGCAGGGCTGGTCCAAGGACTACCTGGCCAGCCTGCAGCAGCGGCAGCAATGGTCTACAGAAGGACCGAACCTCGAGGCAGGATGCCTAGTGCTCGTTCACGAGGACAACACACCGCCTCAGAAGTGGACCACAGGGCGAGTGGTGGCAACGACGGCAGGAGAAGATGGGAGAGTGCGCGTGGCAGAGGTGCGAACTTCCGCAGGCGTTATTAAACGAGCAGTCCAAAAACTGGCAAAATTGCCAATGGATGGTTGAAGCGCCGGAGGCCTTCAACGGGGCCGGAATGTTGAAGCAGCAGCAGCAAAATATCATAACTTAGCATAGAAGCGCAGTATAGTATAAGAGTTAATGAATTGTTACGCTCAGTCGCTGTTACGCCATCTCCCAGCATGTTCGATCGGCTCCCTTCTGGAGTGGGTGAACGTTAGCATCGCTGGCTGCGACCAGTGCATTAAATGAATTTAAATTGAACGGCTGCGTTTTGGTTGCATCTTCGCTGACATCGTATACCACCGTTGTAGGAAAAACCCATCTAGAGCTGCTGAACCGGCGTCATCACACATCATCGTTCCGGGAAAAATACTCTGGATTTTCATGTACTTTTCTACCAGTTTCTGTTGTTATTGTTGGGTTATAATCTTCTTTTACAAAATATACTTTTTGAATCTTGCTGATAATTTTTTACCCAATCTACTATTGATTTTTACAAATATTTCTTGGCCAGGTTGGTATGTTCGTAAAGTAACTCTTTTTCTTGTTTTTGTTTAAGTCTGTCAATATTGTCTTGTCTAGTTTTTTCATATAAAGTCGGGGTTTGTAGTCACAGTTCTATCAAAAAACACTTCTAGTGGTCGTTGATTCGTTACAGAATGAAAGGTGTAATTATATTCATAGATAGCTCTGTCTAGCAGTTCTTCAAAGGTTCTATGAGTCTTATCCTGTTTTATTAAACGCATTATTTCTGATAAAGTGGAGTGGAATCTTTCAATTTGCCCGTTTACTGTACTTTTATAGGGTGGTGCTGTGAAATTTTCAATTTTAAGTTGATCTGGTTGTGCAAATCCGACTGATCCACAACTATTCTTTTGACGATAGGCACGAGTATGCATATGTTCGTATGGTAGACACGGGAACCGGACAGACCGACAGGGAAACTTGTGCGCTGGTGAGACTTCAGAATTAAAGTGATTTGTATTTTGGCAGCATCGCCCTCTTCATGAGCAGCCGCTGCTAGCATAAGTTTCGTTTGTATAAGAGAATAGATCTAACATTTCAAGAGCCTTAACATAAATTCAAAGTACATCTCATTTACTAGGGTCTTAACGTAAGGGCCTTAATATATTTAAACAAAGGCAAGTGATTCGCCCCAACAAAGGCGTTCTTATATCCTCTATGGATTTTGATTTTATGATTCTATGCTAAAAAAAAATATTTCCGACAACTGAACTTTGTTCTCTATTCCATTGCGATGGGCTCTATTATGTGTTTTAAGAATTTCCTCTTCCAGTTGCACTTCTGTTGCTAAATCTTCTACCGACCATCTTACGATGAAGGCGAACTAACAACGATTCTAAAAAATTATCTTAACCCCTCGGTAATTAACGGAATTTATTCGACAGAGGATCTAATGGGAAAAATTCAACTTATCTATCCTAGAAACTTAAGCAACATCAAAATCCGATTTTCATAAAACTAGTCTTTGTGAAAATCGGATTTTGATGTTGTTAGTTCGCCTTCATCGTAAGATGGTCGGTAGATGCTGTTTCTCTTAAACGATGGAAAGGGTAGTCCGTAGAATCTGGAACTTCTATGCTGGGGATAAGGTTATGGCTGGAACATTAATTCGTTTTTATTTGCTATTAGAGATAGGGTATCTGCTACTATGTTATCTTTCCCTGGCTTGTATTGTTATTGTATTGTATTCGTAGTCATCTTCTTCTAGGTGCGTTTTCCACCTCTTTATTCTTGGATTACCATTCCAGCTACTAAGCGAATGAGCAAGGGGTTGATGGTCACTAAAGATTTTTACTTTAGTCCTGCCACATAAACAGTTTTTTAGTGCTTTTAAAGACCATTTTATAGCTTACATTTCCTTTTCATTAGTCGCGTAATTCTCTTCTGCCTTCGAAAGTGTTCTAGATATGAAGGATATCGGCTGGTTATTTTGTGCCAATACAGTCTATTGCAAAGTTAGATGAGTCCGTGGTCAGATGAAACTCCTTACTAAAATCGGATTATGTTAGAATTACTTCATGGGAGTGAGTTTAGTGAGTTTTTAATCTTCCTAAATGCCTCGGTTGCCTCTTGATCGAAGTGAATTGCCTTTGTTCGAGAAGCTTTCTTGCTGACATGTCCGTCTATTCCTCTTAACATGGAAGTTAAATGCTTGGCAAGCTTTGCGTAGTCCCTAATAAATCTTCTGTAGTATCCTGATACACCTAGGAAAGCTCTCTCGGACTGTTATTTTACACGGATAGTTGGCTATGGCCGAAACTTTTGCTGGGTTGGTCTCTATACCCCTGTCAGAAATGACAAAGCCGAAAAACTCTACCTTCTTCTTTAAAAAATCACACTTGTCCAACTGGCTTTTTATATTAGCATCCTGAAGTGTGTTGAAGATAATGTCCAAGTTTGTGAAATGGGACTCTCCATCTCTGCTGAAGACGATAATATCATCTATGTAAATGTAGCAGATTTTCCCTATATGATCGCGTTGTATGTCATCCAAGGCGCGTTGGAAAATCGAAGGTCCATTCTTCAAACCAAAGGGAAGTCTCTTAAACTCGTATTTTGCATTATTGATGGAGAATGCTCTTTTTTCAACATCGGAATCCTTTAGTTTAATCTGATGGAATCAGCTGTTGAGATCGAGTACGGTGAAAAAATTATTGCTACCTAATTGGAAAAGTACTTCGTTTATTTCGGGAATTGGATATTTGTCGGCGACCGTTACTTTGTTAAGTCGATTACTACCCTGTATTTTTTCCGCTTCTGACGTCTGACTTCTTTGGTACAACCCACAAAGGTGAGTTATACGCAGACTTGGAAGGTTGAATAATGCCGTCTTCTAACATCTTTAAGGGACATGGGATATTGATAAAATTTGGAATAAGCTGGAGTTTCTGAGTTGGTACGTATCTCTGCAGTGACATTAGTGGTATAAGTGAGTTTTGCTTCCGGTTTTGCGAATAAACGTGAATATCTGCTAAGAAGATTCTGTAACATTAATTTATGGTCTTCTGTCAAATGATCCATCGGTGGACTTATATTGTTTATTGCTTTTATACCTTTCTCTTTTATTGGTATGGTGATTTGGTTGTTAATCGTCATACAATTCTTATCGGTAAAAATTAATGCTCTTAGTTCTCTTAGACTATCATTACCTAAAATGGCATCAAAAGACTTAAGTGTTGGGAGTAAACAAAATTTTATCGGAATATCAGGTATTTTAAATAGATTTTCTATCTTATAATGTTTGATCTCTATATTACCACCAACTGAAGCAGCTTCGAAAGGTATGGCGTTTGGTATTGGATTGGAAGCTAAACATGGTTTTATATAACTACGATTTGACCCGTATCGATAAGGATTTTTAGAGCTTTTTCGCCCCTTACTTTAGCTGCGATATACGGTAAAGAGGAGCGCTTTACTCTAAAAAAAAACATCCGTATATTCTATCTGATTTATACCGTCATAGTGTTTTAGATATTCGCCCAAGGTTTCATCGAGGTCATTATTAGTTTCGTAGCTATCTAAGGTTTTTTCGTATTCCGCGATTGTGATGTCATGAGTTTTGATTTCTGTTTCATTGCTCTCTATATTGAAGTTGCTTTGTTTTTTTTTATACCCGTACTCAAAAAAGAGTTAAGGGGTATATTAGATTTGTGGTAAAAGTGGATGTGTGTAACGCAGAGAAGGAAAATTTTCCGACCCCATAAAGTATATATATTCTTGACCAGCATCAATAGCCGAGTCGATAAAGCCATGTCTGTCTGTCCGTCCGTCCGTCCGTCCGTCCGTCCGTCCGTCCGTCCGTCCGTCCGTCTGTCCGTCCGTCTGTCCGTCTGTCCGTCTCGATGAGCGCCTGGATCTCAGAGACTATAAGAGCTAGGGCAACCAAATTTGGTTTCCACACTCATGTGATATCACACTGCTACAAGTGTATTTCAGAATTTCGCCCCGCCCCCTTCCGCCCCCACAAAGGACGAAAATCTGTGGCAGCCACAATTTTAAAGATACGATAAGACTAAAAACGCAGTATAGTAGAGAATGCCCATATCTACCAGATTGCCGAATCTGAATCAGATCGGATCATAATTATAGCCAGAATGAAGAAATTAATTTTCAGTTGCTTCCCCTCCCCCTCCTCCCACAAACGACAACGCAACTCATTTTCCTTCTCGCTCGCACACTCTGCCGCGCTCAGTGCGCGAGCAACCCCTAGCGGAGGAGATGTAGAATCTAAATGGTACATGTAGAATATACATGTTAGATGTATAATATAAATAGTATATGTAGATGTAAGTTCTAAGTTTTTAAGTTCTAAATAATTATATGCTTAAAAATGTATATGCTGACTGAGTACGGGTATAAGTAGAGTCGCGTCCCCAGAAGCGACTCACACGTTCCTTCTCGTTTTCAGCTGGTGCTGAGTGACTTTGGCGTTTGACGAAATCAAAATTTGGTCGGTTTATGTAATTTATTTGTTTTGTCCTGACGCTAGAATCTACGTCCATTGGTTCTGGTCGTGGAAGAGGTTTTGGTGCCACAGGGCGAGGTGGTGCAACTGGTTGTTGTTGGTTCTTGTTGTTGGTTGTAGTAATTTCTTGGATTGACTTGTAACATTCTATATGACCCTTGATGGTAGACTGGCTGCTGGCGAGGTCCTGAATTGATAAGGAATGATTGTGTTCTGGATAATGGAATGGGTTTCTGCCCTGTTGTACGAAAAGCAAAAGGCTGTGCCGTAGAAACCGCATGATTAGCTCGGAAATCTTTGTTTTCAATCTTAAGACACAAATGTAAGGCGTGCGGTAGATCCACTGGTTCCTTCATTCCCAGAAGACGTGAGAGGTCACCTTTGAGTCTTCGAACAAACGTGTCCAAGGCTTTGTCTCTGTATATTTTTGATAGTAAAATTTCTGATTTCCTTGTCAAGTCCATGCTCCCAATATTGTTTAAAATCAGTGATAGATGCTTAAAAACTGCTGATGGAATTCCTCAACGGATTGGTTGCTTGTCTGTACGATTGTGGT